ATAAACAAATCTTCAAAATAAATATATAAATAAATAAACTCAAAGTTTACGTAGAACCCCTTTGTTACTTTTTTTTTATTTTTAATTTTTTAAGATGTTTTATTATTTATTTTTGAGAGAGAGAGACAGAGTGTGAGCGGGAGAGGGGCAGAGAAAGAGGGAGACACAGAATCCAAAGCAGGCTCCGGTCACTGAGCTGTCATCACAGAGCCTGACGCGGGGCTCAAACTCATAAGCTGTGAGATCATAACCTGAGCCAAAGTCGGACACTTAACCGACTGAGCTACCCAGGTACCCCACCCCTTTTCTACTTTGTAAAAAGCGCATTTCCCTTACATTTGCATCCTATTCAGTTTTAGGCATATGATTGGAGCCTTAGCTGATATGTAGGACTACACAACTCAGGGTCCTCAGTCAAAGCATGATTTTCACTTCTCAGCCAACAGGAGAAGGTATAGGAGAACGGGTTGGGTTTGGAAAGCTCAGAACATTGTCTGAGCATTAGCGGTCCAATAGAGAGGATGGAAGGATTCTGGTCAACTGAGAGTTCCATTTAGTTGGAAAGAGTCAGTCAAGGTTTCACCTTGTTCTGAAGGAGAAAGAGACAATTTGACAAAATTGTTTTTAACTATTTTCCTACTTTGATTATATTTCCCAAATCAAGAAGTATTAGATCAAAGGGCTTAAACATTTTATGGCACCTGAGATGTTAGAATTTGCTTTCCAAAAGGGTCATTTATCAACTTAAATTGCACCAGCAGTGAGTAAGTGCTCCAAGCTTTTCCTCAACTCTGTACTGAAAAAATTGTTGAACTGCTAAAGTTGCTATTTTAAAGGAGCCTAAAATGCTTTCATCTGTATTTTTTGATTACCAGCAAGGCTGAATAATGTCACATGCACTAGTTTACCATCTGCATCGCCTTTCGTGTGACTTGCATGTTCATATACTTGGTTCATTTCTCTTTCAGAAGGTGTGAAGTTTCTTTGTATTTCTGAATGAATGCTTTCTGAATTCACGCCATTGATCTTAGAGCCTTAACCATGAGCTATTCCCCTCCCACATGCCGGGCACCTAGAGAGTAAGCAGAACATGTTACCTCCGCGTCTGCGTGCTTGGAGAACTCTGTCAGCAAACTCCACATGCTTTGCTTCAACTTCTTCATGTCCATCTTTTTGGCAGTCTTGGCATAATGAATTTCAATTTTATTTACCTGCAATAGATATATAACCAAGTAAAACTAAGTAAAATAAAAAAAAAAATTTACCATCAACCCATTGTAAAATCAAAAGTCTGGAGTTCAAATAAAGAATCTAGTTTGGTTTAATCCAAGGAGTTCTAGAACTTCCTTTGGATATACCAAAATAGAGTCCCTTCCTTTAACCTAATTTCTTGTTGATCAAGTATAATCTACATTAAGACTAACCTGGAAAGAGACATAGGTCAATCAAATACATATGAAATCACCAAGCCTGTCACTTGGTATGGGACAGATGCTTAATGCATGATAATTTAATACAAATTGAATCTGGCCAAGATTTTCCAGAGACAAATAGCTAGCCTCATGCAATCAGCACAGAAACCGATTTTCCCTGCCTGCAGCCTTCATTCACATACTTTACCACTTTGCTCCTAGTTATATGGTTTATCACAATCTCTGGAGAGATGACTAGTTCTACACATACTTAATTAGCATCAGCTCATTCCCAACACAGCCCTACTTAAGAGTCAGCCACTTAGAGAGCAACGACTTAAAATGGAGGGGAAAAAAAAAAAAAAATCAAGCCCAGACCAATATGACTCTCATATAGGAGGCAAATTAAATAGATCTCAGGCAAACAATATAATTCTCAGCTTTCACCTCTACCTTCTGAGGTTCAGCTACCAGATTCGACTCCCCATAAGTGGTGATGTCCAATCCTTGGACTTCAGGGATATCATCATTCTCTTGTGTTGTTTTAGGTGGATGGCAAGATGTAAGGTCAAAGGTCCCAACTGGTCCCACAAATAAATCATCCGACTCTTCATAATCACTGTCAGCAGCCTGGGCAAGAAAACAGTTCTTCAAGTTTGGCAGAAGCTGTCTGAGAGGCTTAGAAGTATCCTTGAAAAAGACTGTATTTACACATCAAGAGCAGAGCACCTGAGAGTTCATTGTGTGAGTCAAGCCTATGATGGACTTCTAGGTGCCTCTACTTATCTTCCTGTTATACATAAACCCTAAGAGGAAAGCTTCTGTTAACTAAGACCTCTAGAGCAAGTTAAAAGCAATTCAATAATCACAACTGCCAGTATCACCTTTGGCTTCAGGCCAACTTAAGATTTCATTTTATAGAAAGCATTCTTGAAACACTGGAGATCTGACCCACATCCCTCACCCAATGTGAGCACAAGAGTCGCCAGGGGTCTCCAGCCGGCCACAGGATTCCTGTCCGGGAGCCATGAAAAATTCATTCTTGGACCAAGGCCAGCAGGAATGGATCAGATCTCTGGGCTGGGACCCAGGACTTGTTTTTAGCAGTGATTCTTTTTTAGGGTGATTCTTAAATACCCGGAAAGTTTGAGAAGCACTCAAGAGGTCTGGATTTTCACTAAAATGTAACAACGCAATTCTCCACGTAAGATGGTAAGATGAACAAACTATTCTGCAGTTCTTGTCCCTCTCCCTACAGGGACACAGATGAGGCTTAATATTTTCCCCCTTTCTGTTATTTACATTTGCTATCTCATTAGTGGACTCACAATAGGAATACTGAGATTATTTAGCCTAAACCTAGATCTAAATTTGGGGAGTAGCTTGTATAAGTTTGCAATGTAAGAACCAAAATCAGAGGTAGAAGCCTGGTCTCCTGAATCTACCCTATAGACTTTTTGCCTATCAGATCACACCATCTTCACATGTCTATGTGCTCTGTCTCCCTAGCCGAAATACTAGCTCCTCAGAGCAGGAAGAGTATTTTCCTTTGAAATCCCAAAATAGCCAAGATAAGTGCTTTGCACAGGCTAAAGATATTGACTGGTTTATTGGAGTATGATCATTCGTTTCCGCATGTAGGACTGGCAGCAAAGCAGGCCAAGGTGTTGGCTGTTTCCTCAGCTTTGCTCATTCCCTGATGCCTGGGGCAGGGCAGGCAGCCACAAACTCCCCACCTCATTTAGAATTTCCTGCAGCTTTCTACCATATAGGAAAGAAGGCTCTTCCACTTAGAAGAGAGGACAGAGCCCTTCTCTCCTTTACCTGTAATCCAGGGCAAAAGTTGGAGGTGTCGTTAGGGTTGTTGTAATCATAGTCTCCAATTTCTTCATAATGTTCAGTTCCTGCCCTCTGGCCTTGGGCCATCTTAAGTAACTAGAATGAAGGAAAGAATAACAGTAGAAAGCAATTTCTAGGAAAGCATCTCTAAACTAAGATGGACAATAACCTTAGTTCTTATGATCAATCTCCTAGAATTATAGAATTTTAGGGGTGCCTGGGTGGCTTAGCCAGTTAAGCGTCTGACTTCATCTCAGGTCATGATCTCACGGTTCGTGAGTTCGAGCCCCACGTCGGGCTCTGTGCTGACAGCCCAGAGCCTGGAACTTGTTTCAGATTCTGTGTCTCCCTCTCTCTCTTCCCCTTCCCTGCTCATACTCTGTCTCTCTCTGTCTCTCAACAATAAAAATGTAAAAAAAAAAAAAAAAAAAAAATTAAAAAAAAAATAGAATTATAGAATTTTAGAGTTCTAAGGGCCCTGAAAAGTCATCTTAATCCTGACAACTTCAACTGCACAGCTCCGTTCTAGAGCAAGCCCTGGGGTAGCAGGGCTTGGAGACTCCATCCAACCCAAATAAACCAGAGAGCTGGTGTGCAATTAGGTCTGTGCACAACTTTATTGGAAAGGGTTTCTTCATTAAAAACAAAACTGCCTAAAGCTATCTGAAAAGAAGTCAACTTGGTTGCTGCTCGAGCAATTCTGAGAAAACCCATTCACAATTTTAATTCACAGGCAGCCTGTCTCATTTCTGGGACAATCATAAGAAACATCCAGCTTTTTTCCCTGTTGTTACACACAGGGTCCTTGTTCTGCCTTCCAGAGCCTCAGAGAACAAGTCTGCCTCCTCCTTTGGGAATGCCTGTGACCACAGCCCTTCAGATATTTGCTGATCATTAGACCAGTGATTTTTGCCTGAGGGGTTTCTCTGGGGAGAAGGACATGAGGCTGAAGGTATGTAGTTTACAAAGCATACTGAGTATTTTAATACAACTCTATACCCAAAAGCAGCCAAAAAAACCCTTCACAATGTTTTTATAATACAAATCCAAAAATAATATTCAACAATAGGCATTTATTGTCTACTTTCTTCCACTGTTCCTCCTATAACACTATTTCTAAATCTCTCTCCATTTAGGATACTCTCCTCGAGGCACACTCTAAATTGTCCACAGTCTACAAAAAGTGTTTCAGGAAGGGAATATGACAGCGGTTGCTATTAGAATCCCCTTGCAAGATATTAAACTGGATGGGTGGTTGATCTGTATAGTCTCTAACCAAATAGTGCTTATTAATCCAGCATCTAATTTCCAGGGTTTCCAGAGCTTAACAGTCATTTTCCCAGTGTAACTCTGCTGGGAAGGTCAGGGATCTCCAGCTCCTGCTGCCTGGCTGCCCTACCACACACAGTGAATTTGTTCCCATGGACAATCAGAAGCAAAAGTTCTTTCTTCTATAAGAGACAATCATAAAACAAAAAACAAAAAACCACCCCCTGGAATGCAAGGTCTCAATGACTTTGTTCTACCACCTTAACATCTGAATATGCAAATTCCCACGAAGGCCACAATCTTCAAATGCTCACAATAAGGGCTTGAGGGAAAAGGGGGTGGCTTGTGGCCACAGAGAGCAGCTCCAGGCTGGGCAAGGTTTGAGAAGTGTCCTACCATCCTGCTCTTCCGCCACAGGGTTCCACTTCTGATCAGAACGAGGGCGCTAGCATCTTACCAATACTGACCATAGCCATACTCTCTCGTACTGCGGTTTTGTTATCTCTTTCTGCATTTTTAAGAGTATTTCTATTAAGTAAACAGTGTTGATTAAAAAGGAAAATAAATTACTGTTGGTTTATAAAAACACAATGTGAGATATCAGTGATTTGGGGGAGCTGTATACATATCATTACGGTCTTGTACAGAAAGAGGCAAAATAAGGAAGAGGAAACTGAAGACAGTTTGTGTATATGATGCCACAAGACTAGAACCACCAGGAATGCAAATGAACGGGGGTCTAGATAAATGAAACCTAGCTTGAACCACTGACTGGTTACCCTGGCAACAGTGACATGCGCTTGCTACCAGCATCACCAGAAGAACCACAGGCAGATGAAGCGAACGGCGACTAGGTACAGCACCAAGTGGTCTGGAGTGCTCATCTTAACAGAGGAGCCAGGAAGGTTGCGCAGCACTGGAGAACTCCCTGAGGACTGCACAGTCAGACACTGGCACCTACATCACCCCTCATGTCACAGTCTACACCCCGTCCACACCCTGACCATGAGGAAGGCAACGTGGGCTGGGGACAGCATCTGCCTAGTGAATCCACCACCTCAACGAGAAAGTAGAGAATCAAGCAATAACTAACATCTTGTAAGAACCTCAACAAAAGATTGTTTATCGCCCTAGCATTTCAGCGTGTAGGGCTCAGTGTCCATCCAGAGGTCTAACCAACTGATGTATTTCAAATCTTTGGTGTGCATCTATCCCATAAGCTTTCCCTTTAGCTCTGCTATTCCTACTGCGTCTTCCAGTAACTGCCCTGGGCTAACACACATCTCTCCTCTCGCTCTCTCCTTTTCCTTAAAGGCACTGTCTGACAGTCACACTACCCATCATCCGATACCTCTGATGCTATCAGCAGGTTAGACAACAGCAGCAGCCTGAACGAACCAAGAACAGTGTTATCCTGGTCTTACCCTGGTTCCTGGTTTGAGATGCAGCTGGACAAGATTATCAGTCTCATAGAGGAAATCCGTAGGAAGAGTGGTAGCTCTCCAATTCTGATTCTCCAAAGTGGATTTGGTCAGAATAGTAGCAGCCTATTAAAAAAAAAAAAAAAGTTTTTAGGCATCTTTAATAAGAATGTTCAAAACATATATATATATTTTTTTAAGGAGCTTGGAAAGGATTTGGGCAGCACTAGTCTACTGTCAGAATTCCCAGTTCCATGTGAAAGTGATTTTGCTAGACATTATTCATATTCTAAACCTGATTCTATCTGCCACTGAGTTCGGGGTTTTTTCTCAATTCCTCTAGAGACTGAGGGAGAATGAAACCATCTATTTACTCTAAAACTTGTATTTGTAATTAATTGTTTAAAAAATCACATCTGTGGGGCATCTGGGTGGCTGTTGGTTAAGCGTCCAACTCTTGATTTCGGCTCAAGGCAGGATGTCGCCGTTTGTGAGTTTGAGTCCTGCATTGGGCTTCATGCTGACAGCACGGAGCCTGCTTGGGATTCTCTCAATCTCTCTCTCTCTCTCTCTCTCTCTCTCCCTCCCTCCCTCCCTCCCTCCCTCTGCCCTTCTCTTGCTCACATACACTCTTGCTCTCTCTCTCTCAAAATAATAAACTTAAAACAAAAATCACATCTAGGGGTGCCTGGGTGGCTCAGTCGGTTGAGCGTCTGACTTCGGCTCAGGCCATGATCTCACAGCCCATGAGTTTGAGCCCCGCATCGGGCTCTGTGCTGACAGCTTGGAGCTGGAGCCTGCTTTGGATTCTGTGTCTCCCTCTCTCTCTGCCCCTAACCCACTCGCATTCTGTTTCTGTCTCTCTCAAAATAAATAAATACTAAAAAAAAAAAAAAAAAAAAAAAAAAAAAAAAGAAAAATTAAAAAAAAATCACATCTGAAAAGAAAGAAGAGTAAAAAGAGTAATTTAAGAAAGCACATATGCTAATAAATCTAGCACAAACCTTTGTTTTTCGAAAATATATGTCAAAGTCAATATCATCATCAAAGTCAATTTCAAAATCTTTCTTTGTATTCTTCTTCTTGTTTTCTGATTTGGAGGCAGCATCATCTGCAGAAATGAACACAGACATCAATACCGTTCACCTCTGTGGACAATATTTACCCATTCTGCAAGATCCTTATCAATGGCAAAATACCATTTTTATCTGAACAACATAATGGCATTAGGAAAGGCAAACCACATACCTATTTCATCAACTGGTAATTTGTGGTCTTGCTAACAAAACACAATAAAAAATATGCTAATTAATCCCTTCCATTCAAAGATAGAATGCAAAACATATAACGCTGGCAAGCCCTTCAGAGTTCTAGAGTCCTGCCTTGTAAGCTTGTGGTCATCCCCACATATGCTGGATGGTCACTGACACTATGTGTTCAAGTTCCATCTAGAAGTACATACGTTTGAGTCGGGGTCTAAAGCGCCAGTGATCCGGGCCAGCCCACATCGACATGGTACGGGGACTAAAATAGGAATATTCTCCAGGTTTCATGGACAGAAGGGGGCACATGGTCCTAATGTCTCCATCCCCAAGGGGAATCATTTCTTCCCTGTAACACACATGAAATCACATTTTTAATGTACAACCATGTACATGTCAATATATATAACACAATCACGCATTTATATGTAAAGCAGCATGTGAGGCAACTGAAGACTACCTACTCAGTTTTCACAGATGGGCAGGATTTCTAAGAGTTAGTTCAATATAAATACTTCATCGTTAAAAATCCTTTAGTTTTTACTTAGTCAAAGTGCTTTTGCTTCTCTTAATTTTATAACAATACGGTCATAGCTATACAAGGAGGTTTTAAAGTGCTTCATAAAATGCAAGTTTACCCACTTGAGAGACAAGAAAAGTGGCAGAGAGAAAGTTGGACTGCACAGTTAATAAAATGCCAGAGCTGGGAGTTGGACACAATTCTCTGAATCAGCTTCAAGATCTTTCCATATGGAAGATTTCCCACCACACAAGATGATAATCTCTCTCTCATTCTTTCTTCACCATCCTTCCAAAAGTGAGGGTTCCAATAACACTAGTGTAATGTCTACCAAAAGTGAAAAGATGTTAATTTGTCCCCCAAAATGATCGGGGTGGGGGAGGGGCACTTGTAATCCGTTAAGCCATCTTAGCTTTATTCTTTGCTGTGTGTGAAGTCTAACTGGCCAGTCCAGAATGGCAGTTTTGGGTTGATTTTTCAACCTTTCTACAAGGTACTAGTATGTGCGAGGTAGCTTTCTCCTAAAGGCCCCTGACACATCAGAAAGTATGTTAGCGCTGCTATACTGCCCTCTAAAGGTAAAGGTAACAAGGAAACTTCAGGCACCAAGGGGTTTTTCATCCATACTGTGCGATCCATATACACACAAATCCTCGTAAACTTACATCAAACCTTATAGAATAAGGTTAAAAAGTTTTAACAGGGGACTTCACCTGTATCTACAGAATATTTATTTAAAAACTAGGAAACTGGATTTGTATAATTATTGTGCAATTAAAACTTAATTTTAAAAATAAGAATATGCTCAAAAAAATTCACATTTCCAGTCTGTAGAACGCCCATGTTACTGATAACAACTGTACTACACTGTGAGCTCCGGAGGGAGAAAGACGATGCCTTCAGTAGAATCTCTGCTCAATTCTCACAGATACTGTTCTGTTTCGGCAGTCATGCTGGGAATTTATTGGGAACTTATAGGCAAAGCTATAAAGAGCTTGGCCCCCATCTCCTGAGAATCTGTGGGCCATGGCAGGGCTAAGGCCCTTGAGGCTTGAACTCTAGCCATTTTATCTTATGATACACAATACTATGTGGCAGGCGCCCTACTGGTCCTAAGTCCCTGACTCAACAACCAACCTACTTCATGATCTATCCAGTTTTCAAGGCCTACCCCCCACCCCCATCAAGCTTCTCTAATCCCCTCTGGGGGAACTACTTCCTTTACCTGCTCCCCCACCACAGGGCTCCTCCTTCAATTCAGCACCAGTTCAGCACATCACACTTTAACCTGCAGGGTAAAGGTCTCCTCCCAGTTGGCTTCTAGCACATCACCCGGCACTCAGCAAAATGCTTCATTCTTACATGCATGGAGCGGGCTGTGGTGGGCCCCGGACTATAGACTAGGTCTGTAACCACAGCAAGCACCTGTACAGAGAGATTGGCTAGAGCACACGTGGCCCACTGCTGCAGGAAGAGGGAATGTGCCCAAGATGCTGCTGGACATACAACACTTCTGTCAGGCCTGGCCTCGTTAACAGATGATGTGCACAGTTGTCCAAGTGTTGCCATCCAGGGACCAATAACATGGGGCGTCCTACAGAACACTGGAACTTCTAATTCAGCACTGCCATAACCCACCTTGAGCTAGAGAAGCCCTTAAAGACCTTTTAGTCCAGTACAGTGTCGTCATCACGGGTGCACAGTACAATCACCCAGGAAAAGTTTGGGAAATGTGACAAAGAGCCTGGCTTCAGGGACTCTCAGTGAAATGCTCTGGGGTGGAGCCTACTATCCAAAGTTCATTACATGCAGCCAGAATTGGCCAAAGGTGCTGAGTGATACCCAGCTCCATCCCAGTATTTAACTTCTCTGAGCCTGTTCCCCCATCTGTGAAGTGGGGATAACAGGACTTAATGATAAGGTTGTTGTAAGGCTTAAGAAATGACATTTTCTGCACTACGTAAATTATGTGAGGTAATGCAGGTAAGGCACCTGGCATGGGTCTGGCACAAAGCCAGAATAATACAGCACTCATGAGCTCAGACGTTATTATTATCTAGTCCAAACCCTTCATTTTCTGGATGAGAACACAAGACCCTAAAAGGTGATGCCACTTGCCTCTGCCCCACATCTCACATCTATCAATGACAGAGTCAAATCTGTGCAGTTTAAATATTGACTGAGCTCTCGGGAAAGAACAGCACCAGGCCAAGGATAGGGATTTCAAGATGGACAAAACCTTAGGCTAGAACCTAAGCCCCCTGGCCCCAATGCATTCAGTAGGATGGACTCTACGATTTTGTTCTGTTTGAAACTGGAGAGAAATGGAGACATTTATTCAAAATACCAAAATGGAAGTAACTAAAGCCCTTTGTTACCATCAATTCCTCAGATGCCAGGAAAAGTAACAGTTGTTCTCTGACATTTGAAAATGATATTAAAAGAGCTAATCCCACCAACCTGCCTACCATTTCTCACTTTGTAGATGATAGGATAGGATGGGAACGGGGACAAGACTGCAAGTATAATAATAGTACAAATCAGGAGAAGAAAGGACGGTGCCAAAGGTCTTAGATGGTAGTTTTGCCTTGAGGTGCTAAATGTTTAGCCCATCACTATCTACTCCGATTTGAAGAGACATTATCAATAAAATCATTTCCCACATAAGCAGACAAATTATACGGGACAACTTCTAAGGTTTTACCCCATAGCAAACCAGCTTAGCTGTCCCCAGTCACAGGCACACAAAACTGCTGTAGGCACAGGGACTGTTCGTTTGTAGTCTTATGGAATCTCCCACACCCAAGCCTGTTCATGACCTTTAGAGGCCCTTGGTACTACGTGATTATGATGCTTCCAAACCATATTCAAAATTAAAACAATACTAATCTCTTCAGTACGTATAAAAAGGCCCAGAAAGCTCTGATTTTCTCCTATGCCTACTAGAGTAATAAAAAATTTAAATTACTACAGGCTAATTCCTCCTGCCCAATATGCTCAGTTTTATTTGCTTATTTAGTTTCCCCTGCTTTGCTTATCCCTGGTCTGCCTATCTGCCTATCTGGTAACTGAACACTGCCCAGCCCCCCTTCTTTGCTTGACCCTGAAGAGGCAGGGGCCACTGTTTCTGTAAGCAGCACATAAGCCTGTTTGTGTCTATAAGTGACATGCAGGGATGTAGCCAAAAGCCAGACTATGCATCATGTGTAGAAAGAAAGCACACTCTGCGCTACCAAAACACGTAACAAGAGACACCACTGAAGTAGCTCCTGTATCCCGGGTACTTTTTTCCAGCACTTTACATATTTTAGTTCTATCCTTACAAACTCCCACAGTGTCAGTTTTATAACCACTAAGTTGCTGAGCCAAATTCACAGGCAGGTGTGATTCCGTGAGTCAGAACGGCTCAGCCTGTGTGGACTACATGGCCAGCACGCCAGCCTAGCCAGTCTCAGAGATGAAATTCGACTGTCTCAGCAGGGAAAGAACAAATGGAAAACTCCGCTGGGAACATCTGTGGCCCTGAGAGCCTTACGGGCAGCTGTGAGTGTGGCAGGTTTCCTTCCAGCTCCTGAACTCAGCGTTGTCCCCAGCCATGCTGTGCTCAGGCTCGTCATTCGCATCAAAGTCGTCCTCCATGGGCCCATCAGGAAAATCCCCGCAGTCATCCTCCTCTACCTCGGCGTTGATGTCAAACACCTGTTCGTTTTTCTTGAACTTGTCTACCAGGGCAGACACGGACTGGAGAGGACAAAGAGAGGGTTCTCTAGTACTCCCCATTCCCACGGCCACCCCAGCCACCGCTGGAGGAAAAGACTCCTTTCTCATCCCAAAATTCGAGTTTCCAGCCTCTCCTCCCACCTCCCCAGAGCCAACGTTCTCACGATAGTAAAGCGCTGAGGAAGTTTATATTGTGCAGCACAGGATGAAGCTGTGTTGTCATCAGGCACATTTTGTAAAACATGAAACAGGAATCTGTATCCATTAACTACATGTTTAGAGAAAACTGTTTTCCATGGAGACCATTTATTCTGGAAGTGGTAGTATGTAGGCTAAAGGGGGCCATACTAAAAATATACAGAGGAAAGCTCTACACATGACAATTTCTCAGGAAACTCTGTGCCAAGGGACTCAACCCTGAAGAGCAGGAAATTCCTCGAGCCTGACAGCAGCCTGAGACCAGAGGACTGGAATTAACCATGTTAGAGGGTAAAGCTAATTAAAAAAATGCACACCCAGGAATGACAGGGCTGCCTCACCCTCCATTCCTAGCCCCCAGGTTTTAGTCCTTACAGAAGGGCCAAGGGAAATATTTTCTATACTCTTGGCCAAATAAAAATGATGCCACAGTTTTGGTTCTCACTGGGCAGGACTTGTCTTGGGCCATCTCACTGAAACCATGAGCAGTTGGACAAATGCCTAGAGCCCTTACAAGTCTAAAAATTGAACTCACCTCATTATGTGCCTCGCTGTCCCATTTAGTGAACTGGAACCCGGCCAGGGAAGGGCAGATCTGGCAATCTTCCACACACTGTTGCAAGGGCGCTGGAGAGAACAGAAGATGGCAAAGAGGGACGATGGCAAAGAATGTGGATGGAGCACACTCCTCCCTGCTCAGAACGACCAGAGCAGCACGATGGAGATGGGAGGCTCAGTTGCCTCTTGTTCTGTGGCAGAGGCTGGCTGGAGGCCAAGCTCCAGGTCACAGACTTCTGTCCAGGGAGAGGGTGGTGCTCCAAAGACATACCCACACTGGAAGCAGGCTCCACATTGGCATTCCAAGAATTACTGAAACATTAGGGCAGAAACCTGAAGCACAGACATTTGACTCTGAAATGGACTCTGTGCCCCTATGCTATAGCTGGGAAATCAAAAACCCTTCCAAAAAGTATACCAACTGGGGGTACCTGGGTGGCTCAGTCAGTTGAGTGTCCGACTTCAGCACAGGCCATGACCTTGCAGCTCGGGAGTTTGAGCTCTACGTTGGGCTCTTTGCTGTCAGCACAGAGTCCACTTCCGATCTTCTGTCTCCCTCGCTCGCTCTGCCCCTCCCCTGCTTGTGCTCACTCTCTCTCTCTC